GGTGTCTCCAACCACTCTTCCACTTCAGTATTCCTGCATAAAGAGCCAACAACCTTTAGTTATATGTCTGCGCCAGAATAAAATTCAGTTTTAAATCAATAAATAAATTTGATTATACATTTTAATAATTTAATTGCTTAATTAAATCAAGATGTCGGCCCAAAGAAAGACCTCTTGAAAAGATTATACATGAGAATTATTAAAGGAAGTATGTATGTAAATTAACGGAGAATGTTTTATCGGTCCAAAGGAAGGTTGTATTTGGCCGGATTTACATATATATACATGTGTGCAATTTTCATGCGGACGTTAAATCGGCCCAAAGGAAGGTTTAATGTTTTGCCGAATTATACATACAACTGTGATGGTAAATGTGTTACAATTATGTGGTCTTTAACCATGTGACTGATGAATCGACCCAAAGGAAGGTTTATCATTTATCATAAATTATTGTCAATATTTGATATTACAACAAGAGTTTCGTTAGTAGTCAATATTATTGTCCAAAGACTTGATACTAAAGTAACATATGGTATCTTGGATGGAATAGTATACTCAATTAAAATGTATTATTGATTTTTAGGATAGTGAGTTAATTTGGTTTTGTTATCTCTTTTCAGCTACTTTGTCTGAGAACTTAGGATCCATTCCAACACTTACGGGTTCTATTTTTTTTGAATGGAAAAGTAAAGTTAAGATTGTTCTTGGGTGTATGGATCTTGACCTTGCGCTAAGGATGGATAAACCTGCTTCTCCTACGGATGGTAGCATTCCGGAATATAAGGTTGTTCATGAGATGTGGGAGCGCTCTAATCGCATTGGCCTAATGATCAGTAAGGACACCATCCAGAAACCTTTAGAGGTGGTGAGGACATTGGGCGAGATACTGCACCGGTCAATCTGGTAATCAACAGTTTCAATCATTAGGGCAAGAAAAACCTGCTACCTCGGGTGGAGAATGTTACAAATGCGGAAAACAAGGACACTGGGAAATTGCACTGTGGCTCTTCAGTCCACAGTTGTTCCAGGTAAAAGACTGAGGAAGTACTAGATCAGGCTTTCTAATTTCTGAATCTTATCCATAGTCTACAGCTCTTAGGGTTTATCTAGTGTAGTTAACGACAACTTTGTCATGTCTCATGGTTGTGCTCAAAATTTTGGAACCTTTGTTTTGTCTTCCATCTTATGAATAATTTCTTAATATTTATGTTTAAAGTTTAAAACTAGGAGCAGATCAGTATTGAGAACTACTTCAAGAAACTACCTTGTCACATTTTTCTTTTTATAGTGATGGTTTAATGTTTGGGAAATTTGCCAAATATGACTCAAAACTTGGTTTCAAATGCAAAAGTAAACCCAAACATGAATCAAATGCAAAAGTAACCTAAAAAGCTATTAAAATTACAACCAGCCTCTTGTGAAAAAACAAAAAACCAAATTTCTATAGTTGAAACGTAACGTTCTTTGATCAAAAAAAACACGCAATGTTCCAGGTCTTCCGCTTCGCCTCTCTAGAGCTACGACTGATTATGGTTTTGTTGGCTCTGTGTGATTATAGTTTCGTTGATCGGTCTTTCATCTTCTTCGTCTGATCGCAAAAGGATAGCTGTTACGGAAATAAGGCGTTAAAACTATCCATTATTTCATCACACACGATCTGTATTGAATGGGAGATGTGATTTCGCAAGTCGGTGGATGTGATGCTATAAAAAGATGAGTTCTCTGACCTGCATATTCATTCTCTGATTCCTTTTAGACGAAGCAATAAAAAGGCGAGTGAAGTATGGCTACCGTTTCTTTTCCCGAGCTGGAACCAAAAGTCATAGACTTTTTCGCTTCCAAGTTTGATTTCCCCGTTTACACCACCGGTCCTTTAATACCTTTCCAAGAACTCACTGCTGCGTCAGCGATCCTGAATGCATTCGGTGGCTTGATGAGCAACCTGAAAGCTCTGTTCTCTACATATTTCAGGGGACTTTTCTTTTGGTCTCGAAGCTGAGAGGCTGAGATGGAGGAGATAGTGAGAGGAGTTCGAGAGAGTGGAGTTCCGTTTCTTTGGGTGGCGCGTGGGGGAGAGTTAAATATGATGTAGGCTCTTGGAGTTAGATCGGGTGTGGCCTAAGCTGGTGTATCAGCTGTGTGTGTTGTGCCACGGAGCTGTAGGCTGGTTTTGGACACGTTGTGGGTTTAAATCGACGTTGGAAGCAATATATTATGGAGTGTCGATGATGACGTTTCCTTTGTTTTGGGTTCAGTTTTTGAATGCTATGATGATTGTTGAGGAGTGGAGGGTGGGGATGAGAGTCAAGAGCAAGAAGAAGACTGAGATAGTAAGGAGAGAGGAGATAAAGGAGTTGGTGTCGTTCTGAACAGATAAAGGCTTTGGTAATAATTTGCTGATTAGAGGCCACCCAGGAGCGGTTACTGAACCACATGAGCTCCCTGTTATACGTGAGATTCACTCAGGAGGAATCCGCATAGGTGGGGTTAGGAAGCTCTTCCAATAAACCACATAATAATTAATCTTCAAAGTATGGGAGTCTTAAACACTGTTGTGGACTTTAACTGCTCCTCTACTATCCAGTTTTTAAAGTTTAGCTCTTCGTTCATGCTTATAGTTGCTTCTGTTTTGTTTCTCTTTAAATTTTCGTGCACAGCAAGGCAACTACGTTTGCTTCTTAAAAATATCAATGGAATCTCTGATTTTCTACTCATAAATTTCGTCCACAGTAAGGCAACTAAGTTTGCTCTTTTAAAAATTGTCAATAGAATCTATGATTTCAACTAACAAAAACTCGGATCCTTCTAATCATGTCTAATCGGATCCTTCTAATCATGTTTAGAAGTTGTCAATAGAATCTATAGTTTTTTTTTCCTTTTGACATCTCATCAAGAAGTTTTTTAGAAACTTAACAATTATGTCAAAATTTATTAAATATGAGTAAATGGTCTTAAAATTTCATCCTCATATTATTTAAACTAAATCAATTAACAAAATAATTAATAACTCCTACATCATTTTAACTAATACTTTATTTTAAAACAAACCAAATTATGACATTAATCTTTTTTGTTTATCAAAAAGAATCAGTTAGTGAAAATATTTAATATATAGGGTCTAAAGAAAATAATTTCAAAAGATAATACAAAAATCATTAGAAGAAAAAAATCATTCCACACTTTAATCTTTGTACGTTTCTTTATTTATACTAATGAAAAAATGAATGTCATAAGCTTTTTCTCTTCCGACTACAAATTTAGTTCAACCTAGAAAATATGATATAAAAACTTTGTCCAAATATATTATATTATTATACAATTTAGTCAATTATAATGACTTTATTTATTAACATATATATAAATAAGAGCGCACGTATAAAGATTCACAAAATATAACCAATTTTTTGAATTTAAAACAAATATCAGTCGAAATATTTAATTAAAATTCTGCGTGAATCATAAAATTATGTTATCTAATACCACATATTTACAGTCCACAACTATTTCCACAAAACTTATGAAAACAAATATCTAACTCTATTTTTCCGAACCCAAAATATTACAAACCACAAAAAACGCATTTCATGGGATAAACTTTATTTAAAAGAAAACAACATGAAGAATATATCAATGCAATAAGTTTTTAATATGAAAACACTATTGTAAAAAATAAAATATCTATTATTACATGTAATCCCTCATTTTGATACACATTTCTTGCAAATGTAAACCTAAAATACAAACAACAAAATCATACAAAAAGTAAAAGTTTATATTATAAATAAATTATATCCCGTCCATAGGGCGGGCCAACCCTAGTATATAATAAACAAGTGCGATCTAGTTGAATAACTTGGATTTCATATTACATATGGTTGAATTATAAACAGTCATCAAAATATTAGATTCTTTTCATGCACAAGCTTTCTTGGGAATAATTATAAATTTCAATCTTTCTTAGGTTCACTTTGAACTGGACCTAAGCACATCCATATGAAATATTTTGATGGGGTTTTTTTATTCAAATAAAAAAGTCAATTCGATACAACAATAATAACATTTAAAACCTGTAAACTTAATCTAAAGGTTAAGTTCCTTATCACACTACCAATCCAACAGATTATTAATTTGTGATGTTGATGTGGAGCTTATAAAGAAGCTTGAGGCTGAAGTTGAGTTTCAGGTTGAAGCAATGCTGTTGAGGCAAATAAAACAGAAGCTTGAAGCTGGAGAGCTTGCAAAACCAATTACAAGGCATCATCTCGAATTTCATCAGCTACACAGAGAGAAGATTTAACTTGTGTCCATAACATTTTGTTAATAAAAGAAGAAGATAATAACCGATATATCTATTATATAAAAGAGAGCATCTCTCCTCCTAAGAGTGTCCACGTCGGATGCCAGCCTGGAAAGGCCACGTCAGCAAGTGGTTTGGACCTAATTCGTCTGGGCCTTTCTCTTTGTGTTTTGTATGGTCCTGATGTCTTCTGACGGAAACAGGCGACGACTCTTTGTGTCCTCTTCTCCAGATTTCTGAAACCGCCTGAGCATCTTTTACAGTAGAAAAGCAAGTCCCAGCCAGAGAGCGAAATAAGCACAAACTGCAGAGAAGAAAGAAGTCATCATCAACTCATGGCTTTAAAAAAAACAAATAAGAGGAGATATGAAACACACATGCTCTTCCTTCCAGTTTCCTGGGTTCGTGGGCTGTTTCCAGAAGTCAAACTTCCTAGATCCTCCACTATATTTAGCCTTTGTTTTATAAATATTAGTTCCTGCTTATCAAACAAACTACTAATTAATTTTTTGATCTCTCAATAGACATTATAGGTGAGTTCACTACGGTGAAGAGTATTGTGAGTGATACTCTTGGAGATAAGATCGAGTCATGGAAACTATCAAGCTTGATAAGTACTTAATTTATTTATTTTTTGCTTTTTCTGAGTTTCCATGCGTTCTTTCGTATGATGTGGTGAAAACAAATTTATTTATTGTTACAAATGCATATTTGCAGTGATACAACCGTCACTTTGAGGCTATTCGACTCTCAAGTTGTGTCCTTCCACAAAAAGCTTGAAGACATGTATGGTGATCCAAACGTGATTGTCGCTACTAGCATAAACCCAAAGATGGTTGGAGGTACTGTGATGTCTCAGTTAGTTTATTTATATTGGGTGAGAATTGAGATATAATTACACTATATATGACTATATAATATGATCTGTAGGTGGTTTGTTCAGGAACCACATCTACTTAACAAGGAAACAAATGCAGAGGAAGTCTACTTCTACAAGTAAGAAATAGATTATCTGAGTATGGAATATTTGTTTAGGTTGGTCGCTAGAGACACTGTTGACCCATCTAACGCACCATTGCTGAAAGGATATGCAAAGGTCGAGACACTAACCGTATCGGAGCTCAATAGTTTTATAACCTCTGCTCCATCACAGGTATCATATTTGGTTTTGAAATCTTCAGTTGTTTGGATCGTATTACTCAATATATGCTCTTGATATACAATGTGTAGGACATTGACTTTATTTTCACTGGTACACTCGATCTGGACAAGGGATGGTGTTATGTTGTCTGCTCCAAATGCAGTAAAAAATTGCAGCGTACTGTCTCTGCTTCGGAGTTCTCCGGTATGTATTGTGTTATTTGTATACGTATGTCCGTGCGTATTTACTCCGACTTAGAGTTTGTTTATTTCTTATCCTTTAGTTATCATGTGGAGTTGAAAATTGCTGATAATACTGCTGAAGGTGTGTTCGTGTGTTTTGATCGTGTGATGACTAAGCCATAACCTCAGAGCAAGTGAAGCCGGTCTGATGTTGGTAAGATATTCAATGGACTTCTTACATGATTTTATATATAGTTGTTAGCATAGCTGGTGTCATCAATCTGACAAACATGCTGAGGAAGGAGTAAATCCTAAGGACTTTAATGTGCCTCCCTTCATCACAGACATGGAAGGAGAGTTAGTGCATATAGCTTCACTGCACACCATCAGACATTCACCATCGCACGCATCCTTAACGAACATGAGCGTGTTCCAGCTCCTGACTTTGTCGTCGATGTAGGGACAATTTTTAAAAAATCTTTGATTCTCTAATTATATTTGTATGTATGTATAACTGTCCAAATGGATTAGTGAGCAAATGATGCTGATATGCTGACCAGCCAGATGGTAGTCCAATTCCTGTTTAGACAGAATCTGGAGAAGGCAATAGTGATGCAGATGAGGGTGTTGATGCGAGTCCAGATGATCCTGCGCCAAAGAAGAGGATACACTCATCGACCAAGGTGGTCAAGAAAGCGCGTGTTGCTTGAAACAAAATAACAACAGTTATGGTTTCATATTCCAAGTTTTAATAATGCTTACTTATATGCAGTTCCTTCGCACTTTTGATTATTTTTGTTTAAGTTCATGGTGTTTCTGGTACCAAATGTTTGTTCCACTCAGTTTTATGAATAAAAAACTATTTCTATTATTTCCTTTCATATGGATGTGTACCTCTTTTTTACTGATACAAAAATGAAATCTGTAGAATCAGTGAAATTTAAGGGAGAATAATCTATATAATCGTGATCAGATCAGATTAAGCAGTGATAAAGTGAACTACAGTCCCGCTCTTCCTATGAGCTTTTATTTTTTTTTTACACTAATATTAAAAAATATGGATATGATTCTATAACTAACTCTGGTTTGGTGAAAGAGTGAAATTTTTAATTGTTTAGTAATTATGCAACTTTTGAAGATTACTTCAGTAATTAACTTATGTAAATTCAAACGGTATACTTCTGATTCTTTATTTTCTGCTTGAATAATTGTTTTACTTATATATTTCAGTTTAATAAAAACTAACTATGTATATTAAATGAAATTCGAGTAAAAAAAATATTGTGATTAGATAAATTTGGGTAAGGATCACGAGGGCTATGATTCTATAACTATTTCTCCTTTGGTGAGAGGGTGAACGTTTTAAGTGGTTAGTAACTATGCAATTTTTGAAGAACCATAACAATTCTATATATCAAAATAGTCTCACAACAAATTGTAGACATGGACGTTAGAATACATATTCACTTAGTGATTAACGCTAATGACACTTACCACCAATATAAATTTATCAAATAACTTACATGTTTCAACTCACGTTACCACCTCACCCAAAATATATAGTATTGTATACGAAATTTTTTTTTAATATACACAACCATCAAAACCTAAGATAATTCATTTTAATATTTATAAATTTTCTTCACCGAAAAATATTTTAAACTCATCAACTTTATTACACACTCTTCTTACAAAACCTAACATAAAACACATACAATTATATAGTAATATATATCACACAAAAATCATATTCCGCGCGAAGCGCGAACCGGCCCTAGAGAATAAAGAAGAACTTTTTGAAATGTAACACGAAAAACAAACTAATTCTATAAAAATTAAAGTAATCTTATATTTGCAATTTTATATTTTGAAATCTTAATTTAATTACAAAAAAATCCTTAATATCATAACATCCAAAAAATATTCTATATCAATAAAATTTAGTAAAATAATATGATAGATGCTACTATGTGTACAATGCACTAAAATAATATGTCTATATTATTTAAACAAAACAGTGTGACACAATATATAACACTAAAATGAAAATTATATATTTATAACATCTATAATAAACATCAGAACTATACAATCATAAAATGAAAAATGTCCACACGAATGTGCGGATCAAAATCTAGTATATATATATATATATATATATATATATATATATATATATATATATATATATCATTACTAATTTACTGTGCTCATTTAACGGGAAAACGGCTTATTTATATCTGAATTATGAGTTTCTAGAAATAATATACCTAAACTTTTTTTATGTACGAAAATATATTTAAATTTTTTTTTGTGTGCAAAAACACACTTAAATTTTTCTCGTATGCAAAAACATACCTAAATTATACATAAATTAATTGAATTACATACATGAACTTATAAATTCCACGTTAATTCATACATTGACATTAGTAATATTTAATCATAGTTAACGATACTAACAAGGATAGTATGTGGTTGATTAGTCAGGTTCACATACAAACATGTTATATAAAAAGCCCAAAATATAATTGGTTAAAGTTTAAATATTCAGAACTGTATATTAAAATTATCTTTGACCGAATATTAACTTTTTTAGACCGTAGTATAACGGCGTCATTTCATAAACTGATTCATCTTCTTCCTCTTAACCTTCAACAATTTTGGACCAAAATATTTACTGTCAATCACAACTAAAACCTAAGCTTAAAAAGAGACAAAAGACTTTTGTACGGCTTACTTTATAAATATATAAATAATAAATATTAAAATCAATTAAAATTACTTTTATATTTTTGGATTATAATTTTTTCAGATTCACACTTTTTTGATACATTTTCTTTTCTTTCGGATTTTGATTTTGAATTTTTATTTTTATTTTTATTATATTTTTATTTTTGAAATTCGAAAATGCTTTTTGAAAATATTTATCAAATTTCTTTTTAAAATATTTAATATTTATTTATATTCTTGAATATTTTAAACTCCAGCCCAAAATCTCACCCTTAACTTTAAACACAAAAGTCTAGGATTATTTAAGCTCATAGGTATAAATTATATTTATTCTTCAATAAAAAAGTTTTGGTCATTTTCTGTTTAAAAGTCCTTTTGTGAAAATTAATTAAAAGAGATTATCCTAGAAATTTTTTTATTAAACATCGTTAATGTCAATGTATCAATTAGCATGGACTTTATAAGTTCGTGTATGTAATTCAAATTATGTATAATCTAAGTATAGTTTCACACACAATAAAAGTTTAGATATGTTTCTGTATGTAAAAAAATTTAAGTATGTTTTAGCATATAAAAAATGTTTAAGTATATTTTTCATAGTTCGGATATGAATAAGCCGTTTTCCCCTCATTTAACCGGAGATTATCGAAAATAGTAGATAGCTTGGGCCTGAAATAAATGGGCTTGGCCTAAGACGTTTACATTACTATTTTTTTTTGGAACTGTTCTCCGTGATTATTGTATTCGCTGACGATAAAAACCCCGGGAAAATCCATCCCTAGCAGAAACAATTTCACAAGCAAGTAAGAGTGTTGTTAATCGATCGAGAGAACGAAATGGAGAAGAGCACGATTCAGGTCGACGAGCTCGACGAATCCGATGATTTTCTTCTCGAACTCGCCGCAATCGAAGCGGAAGCAGAAGCGGCGTCGGCGGCGAAACGCCCTAAGGTCGCTGTCGTCCCCGTACCGGAGGGACCTTACATGGCGGCTCTAAAGGGAAGCAAAAGCGAGCAGTGGCAGCTGAATCCGCTCAACCCCGCCTCCAAATCTCGCGGCGGTTTTCAAGGCGGGACCGTGAATTCGAATTATCCGGCTGGGAATTATGGATCGGAGGCGGGTGAGCAGGATTTTCCGGAGAAGAACTGTCCCTGTGGAAATGGTGTGTGTTCGATTCTCACGTCAAACACGCAGAAGAATCCAGGCCGAAAGTTCTACAAATGCCCTAACAGAGAGGTTTTTGAATTAATGTTTTAATCATTTCTGCTCGCTAGGTGTTCGATGAAATGCCACTGAGAATAGTTTCTCTCATTGAATAAGATCAGATATTGGATTCTTGTTATTTTTGGCTTATTTGTGGAAAATAGTGTGTGGGTTTGATATAAAGCTACTTTTTGTTTATTAGGAAAACGGAGGTTGTGGGTTTTTCCAGTGGTGTGATGCAGTGGTTCAGTCTTCCGGAACTCAGCATAGTTATGGAAACACTTACGAATCCAAGTTCCCTGATCTCCAGTGTCCGTGTGGTGCTGGATTGTGCCGTGTTCTCACTGCTAAAACTGGAGAAAACATTGGCAGGCAGTTCTATCGCTGTCCTGTTTTTGAGGTATGTTGTTATCAGTCACTAAGTTTATGTGCTTATTGTTATCAACATTCAATATAGCTATGGACTGTTGTAATCTGTTGTACTTTCTGTGGTCTCTGGTTTGGTGAGTCCTTACTGATAGAGCTTCATATTATCCTTGTATGCGATTGCATTGGAACACATATAGCCAAGTATAGTCGGGCTTACTTATTTTGCAACAAGTATACCTAAAAACTCTGTGCACTTCAACAGTTTATCAAATAAGTTGTAAACAGTAGATTCAGGAGCTTCTTTCCTGTTTAGATGACGGAGACAGAGTGACAACTCGGTATACAATTATGTTTAGCAAAAATACGACGAGTTTCTTGGTTCTCGGCTTACAATTAGTGCCAAGAACTATCAACTGGTTTAAGTGAAATATTATTGTAGTATCTTGCTAAGCTCTGACTGTCTGTATAATCTAATATGGCTTCCTCTCTATCTCAGGGCTCTTGTGGTTTCTTCAAATGGTGCAATGATGACGCAGTCAAAGCTTCTACAACGTATAGCTTTACCAGTAACATCAACGTAAGTGAATCAGATACCAGAGGATATCAAACTGCGAAAACAGACAGTGGCACACCCTGTTATAAGTGTGGGAAGGAAGGGCATTGGGCGAGAGACTGCACTGCTCAGTCTGGTAATCCTTCGTATGAAACGGGACTGGTAAAGCCTTCCTCTGCAGCTGGAGAATGTTACAAGTGTGGGAAGGAAGGACACTGGGCGAGAGACTGCACTGCTCAATCTGGTAATCCGTCATACCAAACGGCACCGCCACAGCCATCCTCTACAGCTGGAGAATGTTATAAATGCGGGAAGCAAGGACATTGGGCGAGAGACTGCACTGCTCAATCTGGTAATCTGAAGTCTGGATCAGAACAAGTGAGGTCCTCCTCTTCAGGTGGAGAGTGTTACAAATGCGGGAAGCAAGGACATTGGGCGAGAGACTGCACCGGTCAATCTGGTAGTCAACAGTTTCAATCATCAGGGCAAGGAAAGCCTGCCTCCTCGGGTGGAGAATGTTACAAATGCGGAAAACCGGGACACTGGGCAAGAGATTGCACTGTGGCTGTTCAATCCACAGGCGTTTCAGGTAAAAGACAGAGGGAGTACTAGGTCAGGCTTTCTAAGCTCTGAATCTGATCTGTGGTCTAGAACTCGTAGGGTTTTGCTAGTGTAGTTAACACAACTTTGTCATGTCCCATGGGTGTGTCCGAAATCTGAAGACTTTGTTTTGTCTTTCATCTTATGAATATTTTCCTAACCTGTTTTAAAATTTAAAAGTAGAACTACTGCGTGAAACAACCTTGTCAGTTGCCACATTTGTCTTTTTAGATGGTTTAATGTTATGATTTGGTACTGCACATCAATTTTGTCACATGATGCTAGTAAAGATTTAAAAATCATTGATGAAAAACAGAGGATTTTAATAAGGATATGAAGAGTAACACAAGAATTTGATTGAATTTTCGTATCCAGTAAATCCACCAAGAAATAAATTAAAATGGAAGCAAATCATTAATTATAGTAAATATGTAAGGAAATTATCTCTGAAACTTCTAAAATTAGAAATATAATAAATACAATTTGGGAGCTGGTGGTGTTTTTATTATTAGTTTGTTAAAGTAGAAAAGAAGAATACAGCGTCCCCCTGGAACACGTAAGAGGGGAGTTAGAAGAGATAGGTTGTTAGAATAGATCGGTAGACTCCAGATTTAGCTTATGTAACGCTTACAACTACTCTCTATCTATCTATCTCCGAAAATCTATTTCGCTTTTATCTTATCATCTCCTCGATCTCTCCGTTTACAGCTAAACAACAAAAAACCTTTTTACCATTTTCTTTTTAAAAATCATAAAGTAAAAGATTCATCTCATTTAACATACATTTCTGCAATGCCCACTCTGCTTCAAACAGCTCCAATGCCTGAGTCTGAACCATCACGGTCTTCTTTGGTTTTCGCTTACTACGTTACTGGTCATGGCTTTGGCCACGCCACTCGTGTTGTTGAGGTTAGATCTCTTTCTTGTCACATTTTAGAGACTCTAGATGAGTCTTTGTCTTAATGTAATGGATGGATAATAGGTGGTTCGGCATCTGATCTCGTCTGGACATCGAGTTTATGTTGTCTCTGCTGCTCCAGAGTTTGTTTTCACCACGGAGATTCACTCTCCAAATCTTTTTATCCGACATGTAATAATTCCTTCTGTGATTTTTTTTATATAATTGAGTTTCACTCTCTGATGCATATCCAAAAGATTGATCTCCAAGTTCTTTTAAGGCAAATGTATTTATTGGAGGTGATGTTTAGGTATTATTGGACAGTGGATCTGTACAATCCGATGCTTTAACCGTGGATCGTCGTGCTTCCTTGGAGAAGGTCTCTTCCAATTCAGATATATCTTCCTTTTCTCCTAATTTAGGTTCTTAGCTTCATAGAATCTTTGTTTTGGTCAACATTTGCAGTATTGCGAGATTGCCGTTGAACCCCGTGACGCTATCTTAGCCACAGAGGTTGAGTGGCTTAAGTCAATCAAAGCCAACCTTGTGGTACTTTCAAAATGACGTGTTCTATATATTTTATGAGTGTAAGTGTGGATCCAGAGTTAATAAAGAAAGACATATTGTGAAAACAGGTCTCAGATGTTGTCCCCATCGCTTGCCGTGCTGCAGCAAATGCCGGAGTTCGCTCTGTTTGCGTCGCCAACTTCAGGTACAGTGAAAATATTTGAGATGATTTACTAGTAGATGGCTTAAGTTGTGTGGTATATCATTGCATACATCTCAGAAAACAAGTTATGTTTTATGAAACTGTGATTACTGCAGTTGGGACTTCATATATGCAGAATATGTTATGGCAGCAGGACATCATCATCAGTCCATTGTTTGGCAGGTAAAATCTCAGCTTAGATGTCATCTTTCTTGGTTCTAACGGCTTCTTAATGGTGTGATTGTATACTACTGCAGATAGCTGAGGATTATTCGCACTGCGAGTTTCTGATTCGCCTACCTGGACACTGTCCTAGTAAGTTATTGTTGGAGACTTGGAGGCAACATATATTATTCTGTAAAGTATTCATTTATGATATGCCAAAAAAACAATATATTGATCTTCTACAGTGCCTGCTTTCCATGATGTTATTGATATTCCCCTTGTTGTGAGGCCATTGCATAAATCTAGAGAAGAGGTTTGAGTTGAAACAGTCTCCTCAGTTTTCTTAATAATTGATTTTGTCTTCTGTCAGATTTATAAACTTGTCCAATTTTTAATTACAGGTTAGGAGAGAACTTGGAGTTCCAGACAATGTGAAACTACTAATCTTTAACTTCGGTGGGCAAGTAAGCAAATTCTCCTATAGCTTTTCAACATCAAAGTTTTCTTAACATCTCTTGCAGTAACATTGCTGATGTAATTTTGCAGCCAACTGGTTGGAAACTGAAGGAAGAATATCTACCAGCTGGTTGGCTATGTCTGGTACTAATATCTGAGTTTTATGTTACTTTTCCTGGTTGATTGATTTTAGTATAAGATAATAGATGAAAGTTTCCCTGCAATATATATAGGTCTGTGGCGCTTCTGCGAAGCAGGAGCTTCCTCCAAATTTCATAGGACTTCCAAAAGATGTTTATACTCCTGATGCGATTGCTGCTTCAGACTGCATGCTCGGTATCATCCGTTCCTCTTTTATCTATGAGTCTTTCACCGTAATAACATTGTGCTAATTAACTACCAACTTCAGGAAAAATTGGATATGGAACTGTGAGTGAAGCACTTGCATGCAAGTTACCCTTCATTTTTGTGCGAAGGGATTACTTCAATGAAGAACCATTCTTGAGAAAGATGCTTGAGGTGACAGAGCATCACCACACACAGTTGATCTAGATATGTTGTTTTTGCTTTCTCTTGAGAATTCTTTCTGTTTCTGTATGAAAGTATTACCAAGGAGGAGTTGAAATGATCAGAAGAGATCTTCTTGCTGGATGTTGGGCGCCTTATCTTGAGCGTGCTGTTACATTGAAACCGTGTTACGACGGAGGCATTGATGGTGGCGAGGTAGACCCTACAAACTCTTCATAGTACAAGACAACTTCCTCTTGTTGATGATGTAATCACTCCTGCTCGTTTCTGAATCCAGGTAGCGGCTAAAATACTGCAGGACACAGCTATGGGAAAGAAACGTTCTAAGCTCAATGTGAGTAATACAAGCAGAAACATGTTGAGATTAAAATAGTGATTACTTCATATAGACAAATATCATATCTGTTTGCCACTGATAATGTAGCTTAGTGGGGCGAGGAGACTCCGGGATGCAATAATATTAGGCTTCCAGCTACAGAGAGCTCCAGGGAGAGATCTTTCAGTGCCAGAATGGTATCAAGTCGCTGGAGACGAAGCTGTGACTCCTCCAGTTGATCAGACTCAGAAATCCTCTAAGTGTGTGTTCCTTGTGGACTTTGAATGTTTCAGTTTGAATCTTTGGACTCACCTCTTCTGTGTTTTTAATTTAACAGGTTTGTAGAAGGCTTTGAAATTCTTCATGGAGATCACCATGGCCTCATAGACACAATCAGTTTCTTGGATAGTTTGGCCACGTTAGCTAAAATAGAAGGGCATCATCAAGAAAGGGAGCATTTAGCAGCAGCAGCACTTTTCAACTGGGAGGTTTGTTTTCCATTATTTGGATTCAATGTTTCTGGTGAAGTTTGTGTTATTTTAGTAATAAAAATGGAGTTTGTGTGGTGACCATTCAGGAGGATATTGTTGTTGCGAGAGCACCTGGTAGACTTGATGTAATGGGAGGCATTGCTGATTACTCTGGAAGTCTTGTCTTGCTGGTTAGTTCTCATCAAGACCAGTTTTAGATTCATCTTTAACAGAAGTGTTCTTGTTGCTATTGTTTAGATGCCGACGAGAGAGGCTTGCCATGCAGCTGTCCAGAGGAATCACCCTAGCAAACAGAAACTATGGAAGCACGCTGAAGCAAGACATCATTCAAGAGACACTCCTATTCTTGAAATTGTATGTTCTGTTTTGTTCTGACACTACATTGCCTTTCCTTTCTCTAACACTTATTTCTGAAACTTCCAGGTTTCATTTGGATCAGAGTTGAGCAACAGAGGACCAACTTTTGATATGGACTTGTCTGATTTTATGGAAGAAGATGGCAAACCAATTACCTATGAGAAAGCTTACCATTACTTTTCCAAGGATCCATCTCAGAAGTTGGTTCATATTTTCTCAGATACTTGACAAGAATCATCATGAACTATATGATATATATATTTATTGAGTCCATTGTTCTAGGTGGGCAGCCTATGTTGCAGGTACTATTCTGGTACTAATGAGAGAGATGAACGTTCGTTTTGAAGATAGCATTAGCATACTGGTAACAAAACTTTTCTACGTTTCCTGTACTGCAATGTATCTACCAGTCTTAACTAAGCTCTAATACGTTTTTTCAGGTTTCTTCAACGGTTCCTGAAGGCAAAGGAGTATCTTCCTCTGCATCAGTTGAAGTTGCTACAATGTCTGCTATCGCTGCTGCTCATGGTTAGTATCCACAATAAATAAAAGAGTAGATGATGATTCATTTTTGATGCCTTGAGCTGAATGTTTCAGGTCTTGAGATATCTCCGCGAGACGTGGCTTTGCTTTGCCAAAAGGTGGAGAATTATGTTGTTGGAGCACCTTGTGGAGTGATGGATCAAATGGCTTCTGCTTGTGGAGAAGCTAACAAGCTTCTTGCTATGATCTGTCAGGTACTTTCTCCTCTCTTCATTTTCATCAAAATCAAGAAGTAAATAACGGTGTTAATATTCACTGCAGCCTGCTGAGATACTAGGACTTGTTGAAATACCTTCTCACATTCGCTTCTGGGGAATCGATTCCGGAATACGCCACAGGTGCTGTGTATATTATTTATTTGAGTCCAAACATTTTATTCTCAACACAAATAGTTTCTTCTCTTCAGTGTCGGTGGTTCAGACTATGGTTCTGTGAGGATAGGAGCTTTTATTGGTAAAACAATGATAAGATCTTTTGCATCTTCTCTATCTGTCTCTGAAACCAACTCAGGAGAGGCTGAAGAGGAGAGCTCAGAGTTGATTGAATACGATGCTTCTTTGGATTACTTATGCAACCTTTCACCTCATAGGTATTTACAGACTTAATCATTTTTGTTTACCAAATGAATTGGATGATGATAATGATATCTTTTTGTTTTTTTTTTTGTTTTTTGTTCTTGTAGATTTCAAGCTCTATATGCAAGTAAGCTCCCACAGTCTATCACAGGAGAAGAATTTATGGAAAAGTATGGTGACCATGGTGATTCTGTCACAACCATTGATAGGAAAGGTACTTACCACATAATGGCGCCGACTAAACATCCAATCTATGAAAACTTCCGTGTCCAGGTGAGTTTAATCTACCTGTAATATATAATCAAAACCTTTTTGTTGTTGTTGAGTTGTAAGAAGAAGAATGATATGTTTTGTCTTTACCTCTTTATTAGGCTTTCAAAGCATTGTTGACAGCAACTCCTTCAGAAGAACAGGTCATTGGTCTAGGGGAGCTTATGTACCAGGTGAATCATAGCTTTTAAAATTGTCTCGTATGATCATAAAGTCTGAGTTTTCTGCTAGTTCATTAACCGTATGTTAACTTGGCAGTGCCATGATAGCTACAGCGCGTGTGGGCTTGGCTCTGATGGTACAGACAGATTAGTGAGATTAGTACAGAAAATGGAGAAGTTGAAGCATTCTAAAACCGAGAACGGAACTCTCTATGGTGCCAAGATCACAGGAGGTGGTAGCGGTGGAACGGTTTGCGTTATTGGAAGGAGCAGTCTGAGAAGCAGTGAACAGATTCTTGAGGTCAACATAATCAAAACTTTAGCATATGATTCTTGAGCTACAACTTTATAGTACTAGATAATATTAAAGATGTTTATAATATGATTCATGCAGATACAGAGAAAGTACAAGGAAGCAACAGGGTTTATGCCGTATGTGTTTGAAGGATCATCTCCTGGAGCTGGCAAGTTTGGATATCTGAAGATACGCAAGAACTCTGCTCCTTCTACTTAAAAACATCGTTTTTGTAACACCTTCTAAAACATTTTTTTTTTCTTATATTCTGCTTAAAAGACTTCTACATATTGTGTTATCATCGGTAACTAAAATACAGTTCAAGAACTCTTGTCCTTTCGTTTCTTTCCAAAAAAAAAGGAATTCATGCAGAAACTCTTAAAATACCGTCTTTGTTAGTTCAAGCGACAGACCACAATGTGTCGAATGCGCAAACATGTAATTCATAAGCAAATATATATACCAAAGTCGAGGGCTATCCGCTATGTATACTGTAAGCCGTTCCCAGTTTTTGTTCTAAACACCGTGCCGTTTTTCGCACCATCAAACATCCTGTCGTTTTCTTGTTAGACCATTATTAGTGGTCTACAAAAGAGCCACAACAGCAAAAAAACCGAAACTCGGAACAAATCCGGCAGAAAAGAGATTCATTTGCCGTCTTCTCTTTCTTTGTCTCTGAACCAAAAACCTTCCTTAAACCCTAGAGAGAGAGAAGAGATAACACACATTTAGAGAGAGAGAGAGAGAAATGTTTCGTGCGGTTGGATCTGTTCTGAAAAGGAACAAGGAAGCCTTCTATGGAATCGCTCGAGGATCCACGTCTTCTTCCTCTCATCGCACCTTCACTACTATAAACTCTGCTTCTTCCTCTTCTCCTCTACCTGGAAACTCCTTCAATGGCTATACACGATCTCTTCTCAAAGTAACCTCCTTTCTTCCAATTCATACCCTAATATTGATACTTGGATTGATTCAAGATTCTTGAATTGTGTTATAGGGCAATCAAAAGTCTCCAACTTTCAGAAAGATGTCAACTTTAGCAGCCACTAGCTCAGAGAGTAAAGAGGGTTTGAAGCTTCTCGTCACTGGAGGACCCCAAGCTCGCAAATGGGTTGGAACTTGGCTTTTCGGTTCAGCTGCTTGGGTGTTCAGCATGGTGGTACTTGGCGGTGTAACCCGGTTAACTCGGTCCGGTTTATCCATGACTGATTGGAAGTTCACCGGTGAGTTTCCTCCTTTGTCAGATGAAGCTTGGGATAAGGAGTTTGAGAAGTATAAACAGTCACCTGAGTATAAACGGTTAGTTAAAACAAATTTAATTTTAAACTCTTGATATAGAGTGTGATGTTGTGATTTTTTTGGTGGTATTTGTAGTGTGAACAAAGGGATGAATCTTGAGGATTTTAAGTTTATATATTGGATGGAGTATGCTCATCGTATGTGGGGAAGAGGGTTAGGGATCATGTTTGCTTTGCCGTTTTCTTATTTTCTGCGTAAAGGGTATATTACTCTACGTCTTGGTGTTCAGCTCTCTGGTTTGTTTGCTCTTGGTGCTGGTCAAGGTTTCATTGGTTGGTGGATGGTTAAAAGTGGCTTAGAGGTAAAGCTTTTAAGTATCATCTCTTGTTCTGGATGATTGTTACCTTCAGAATATTGACTTTGGTCCTTGTAGGAGCCGCCGTCTGAGTATTCTCAGCCGAGGGTAAGTCCATACCGTCTTGCAGCTCACCTAACCTCAGCTTTCGCCATATATTGTGGACTTTTCTGGACAGCTCTCTCTGTTGTTATGCCTGAGCCACCAGCTGAGTCACTTGCTTGGGTTCGTGGAGCAGCTAAAGTGAAGAAGCTTGCATTGCCAGTAAGTTTGATTGTTGGTATCACTGCCATCTCTGGAGCTTTTGTTGCTGGAAATGATGCTGTAAGTAAACTAATGGATCTAAGCTTTCTTGGTAACAGAAAGAATTCTTTGTTATTTGAATCTTTCTCTGCTTGTGAAATTGTAGGGTCGTGCATTCAACACGTTCCCGAAGATGGGTGATACATGGATCCCAGATGGTATATTGGAGATGAAACCACTTATACGCAACTTCTTTGAGAACACAGCAACTGTTCAGGTACAACCATTTAAACAAAGCCTTTCTTGCTTCAAGAGTTCTGAAAAAGACATGAAACTTTTACTTAATTTCAGCTCGATCATCGTCTTCTGGCAACAACAACGCTATTTGCGATTGGAACAATGTGGTGGTTCACAAGGAAGCTAGACATACATCCAGCTGTTAAAGCTTTGATCGGAAGCACTGTCGGAATGACTGCTGTTCAGGTGAATCAATTGCATGTTTGTGGAAACTAAAACCCAAAATCATTGATGTGTTTTTGTTTTTTCGCAGGTGACGTTAGGTGTATCAACGCTTCTGAGTTATGTTCCCGTTTCACTAGGAAGTGCACACCAAGCAGGAGCTTTAACACTTCTCACTTTGATGCTGCTTCTCAATCACACTCTTCGGAGGCCATCACCTTCTCTTCTCAAAACTCTTCCACAAGTCGTTAAGTCAAATTTCAGCTAAGCGCTCTTCATCAAATCATATTCCTTTTTTTTTTTCATTTACTAAAAGAAAGAGAACGATTCTTTTGCTTACGTGATAATTATGCTATCAAGTTTTCATCGAATCCTTGGTCAACTATGTTGTATTATCAATCCATGGTTCGAAAAATAAAGTTTGGAAACAATTAACAAAAGTTTCATATAAATCCTGAGTGGTTTTATTGGTGTTTTGATTCAGTTTGTTCAGTCTACAATCTTTTCGGACGAAATCGGTTCATAGCTACATATGTGTTCTGTTTTGGTTGATATCTGGTTCCATAATTTCAGTCCAGTTCAAATCCGTATGCCTTGTTGTTTGTGGATAATTTTTTTGGTGTTTTGGTTTTACAAAACTATTCACGCATAAGACATAACTCATAAGCTTGTATCAGCATCTACGTGTCGTTAGCCCACCACCCTCTTTTCTATATAGCCACGCTACAAAACTCTCAAGTCCTTCTAACTTGAGAACACTGCTATGGAGAAGCTTGAAGGTAGAAGAAGAGATATAGCCAGAACTGATGGAGAGAAAACGATTGGTTCGTCGGTTGTGTTTGCAACCGTAGTAGTGGTTGGATCGCTTCTAGGTCTGGTGAGTTTCAGCCGCTATGGTTGGTGTTGGGGTGACTGCATCCATGTGGTTGGTGGAGATAGCCGCTCTGATTTGTTGTGGACGAGAGATTGGTGTTGGAACAGGACTGGCTGAGAGGATGGTTGAGTCGCTGGTAGTGAGAGATATGTTTTGGTCTGAAAAGTTACTTGCAAAACAAGTCAGAGGATGCTTAGTTTCCAAGGCTCGTTCTTTTTCCTAGTTCAAAATTTGGAAACGCCTCTTTTTGTTGTGTTTTTTCTTGATGCATTCTATAAAGTGTTCCTTTCTTTCTCAATTCTCATGATGCATGAGAATTTGAAGAATATGGTGAAGAAATAAATAAAAAAAATAGAGAGAGATGAAGTAGATAGATAAACAAGCGCTTTGAGCCCATTGCATTTCGCTAGCAACAAGAGCTAATTTGCTGCCTACGGATTGTTTATTGGTCGTCAGTTTTATGTATGACCAACGATCCGCTAATACAGTCACATATGCTCTAGCCAACAAACTATAGCGTTATATCAAATCCCTCACCATGTTGTATCATGGAATTACATAAATGAGTATCATTTCAACGGTGTTCCAAAAAAAAAAAAAGAGTATCGTTTCAACGAAATACATAATGTAAGATTCGTTCAATATGAGTTATTCTTGGTTCACCCGATAGAATTGCATTATTTCATATTTGATATCTTTTAAAAAAAAGAAATAAAATCTTGTTAAATTATATTATGTTTAAAAAAATAAAAATACAAAAATAAATAAAATAATAATAATTAATAAAAACAAAAATGATTTTTTAAAAAGAAAATATTTTAACAATAAACCCTAAACTCTAATCGTAAACCTCAAACACCTGGGTAAATCATAAACTTTTGGATAGCTTTTATAAAAAAATTCTCAAAAAAGTTATTTTAACACAAAAACACTAAACCCTAAACTCTAATCCTAAACCCTAAACCTTTGGGTAAATAATAAACACTTAACCCTAAACTATAATCCTAAATCCTAAACCTTAAACTCTAGGATAAAATCATAAACACTAAATTTTTAAAACACTATAAGATTTATTCAAATGTTTATGATTTACCAAGGGGTTTAGGGTTTAGGATTAGAGTTTAGGGTTTAGTGTTAGAATATTTTCTTTAAAACGAATTATTTTCGTTTTTACTAATTATCATTATTTTTATTTTTTGTATTTTTATTTTTAAAACATAATATAACTTAATAAGATTTTGTTTCCTTTTTAAAAAAAATATCAAATATGAAATAATATAATCCTATTGGATGGTGAACCTAGAGGTTCATCCTAGAGGGTGAACCCAAGAATAAGTGTTATAATATTTGTGTACTAGGGTTTGGTCCGCCCTACGAGCGGGTTAGTAATTGAAAAAATTATACAATAAATTAACAATTTTGTTGAATATTTTAAAATGATTAGTTTACTCTAAATTGAAAGTAATCTCTATTTTCAATATATAAGATTTGATGTTTTCTTTATTACAGGAAAAGTTTAGAATTATAATACAAAAGATTACAATTATACATATATTTTAAATTCTACAAATAACAACTATATATTTTTACATATTATCTATTTTGAGTAATAGTGATATTTTTGAAATGATGTTTGTTATATTTTTAGCATGCTTTTTCCAGCATATCTTTTGAATTTTTTTTGTTGAAAACTTAAAATGTTGATAAATACTCACATAATATTATTATTTTTTCACCTTTTAAGCAGTTTGTCGAGTGGAATAAAAAATCTGATCACCTCTTATCCAATCATTTTGTTAAGCACTTCTATTTTAGTTGGCCACATCTGTCTCAAACCGATAAAAGTTACCTTTTAGTTTCTGATTATTTACTATTTTGTTATATTATAGTTTTTTTGTTTATGTTTATTAATTATTCTCTTTCTACACTTAATTTTCATTGCGTATGAGATACTTTTTAATTGTTTTTTCTCGAAATATAGAGTATACTATTCTTAAAATTTTTGCAAATGTACAAAAAGATATTTCTTTATTTCAAAATTGTAATATATTGAAAGTTTAAAAAAAGTATTACAAGCTAAATAATAAATGCGAAAAGGATATTTTCAACAAATAAAATATTTAATATTTAAAAGTGTAACATATTTGAGTGTTGAAAATGAGTATTGTAATGTAGATACTGAATGCAAAAAAAAATATTTTCAAACTTAAGTTATATTATATTTTATAGAGTGTGATTAATATGGTGTTATCAACATACACGTAACCATGGACGGAGCTAGGTTGTGTCTAGGGGGGTCACATGACCCCAGTTCATTTGTAAATTTTATTTTATTTGGCTGAAATTTTAGTTAATATCTAGTAAATTGGTTATATTTTGTTACTATGCCCCACTAATTTTGATGATTTTATTTTTTTGACCCCACTATAAATTCATCATAACTCCACCACTGCACATAACTACTTATCTTTTGATAACATAGGATGAAGCATAATAAAAAAATATATAAAGCTTGTATTTTATTTATCACAGAGTTATTATGTTGCCAAAATGTTATTACGAGTTTATCCGGCCATCGCTTTATGTCAAGAGATAAAACTTTTTATGTTAGTAACTGTATGAAACTCTGAAAAAAAATTGGTCAAACATGAATTTAGAATAATGGCACACGAAACAAAGAAACATGAAAATTTAACTAAACTTTGATTTTGTAACTAAAAATGACATGTATCATAATTTTAGATACTGATGAAAATGGAGTACATTCTCCTTTATATATATGATGAAAATGGAGTAGTTACCGATGAAAATGGAGTATATTCTCTTTTATTTGGGATATATTATTAAATACTCCCTCTGTTCCATTATAAGTGTCATTCTACAACTGTGCACACGGATTAAGGAAATAATTAATTTTACATATTTTTTATATAAAAACACATACCTATACACCTAACCATATTTTAACCAATTGAAAAAATAGTTACATAATAAAATTAATAAATTTTGCATTGAAAACCAAAAACAACACTTATTTTGTAACGCAAAATACACTTAATATGAAACGGAGAGAATATTTACAGTCAAGTTGACATACGTGGAGTCCTAACTCTAAATGACGAGAAGTCGCAATCATAAGGAATACGTTCATATGCCAAAGAGACAAAAAGGAAACGGTACTTGTCTTTAAGATTTTCTCTGTGTTTCCACGAATGCAGCTCAATAATGCACACGAACGCCCTCGAGATATCCTGCGTGCATCACGAACGAATACATTCTCTTACACAAAGGGGGAAAAGTATTGTAAAACTTCAGTCTCATAATTATATAAACCTACTTAATTTTTTTTTACTGAAATTTTTATAAACCTACTTAATTTGTATTCATGTTTCAAAAACCCCTAATTTTCTACCGCCAAAACTTATAGTTTGCATAGATAACGTTATAAGAGTTTACCTTACTGGGGGATGAAATTCGATAAATAAGATATGAAATAAACAAAAAAAGAATTAATGAAGAAAATGGATATACAAGGAGTTGACCAAGCGTAGAGTGGGTGACCTACCTGCCAAAGGGAATCACACGCTCTGTAGCGTTGAATTCTTTATAGAGTTTAATCACCTCATGCACATTTGATGCTGATTTCATCGTTTCAATTTTCTGTTTTAATTATTATATATATGCATACATTTTCTTTCTTCGTTTACAATTTAAAAAGCCTCGATTCCAAGAAAACAAAGAAACTAAAGTTTGGCAGTTTTAATATTCTTTTGGGGCAATCTTTGATTTGTCTCTTTTTTCTTGTGAGTAAATTAACTAAAGAGAAATCGATCAAGAGATTAAAAACTAGAAAGAAAAGAATGGGTCGGATTCCATGCTGTGAAAAGGAGAATGTTAAGAGAGGACAATGGACTCCTGAAGAAGACAACAAATTGGCTTCTTACATTGCTCAACATGGTACTCGTAATTGGCGCCTCATCCCTAAAAACGCTGGTACATTTAATTTACAATACATATTTTATATGTAAAAGGTTACTTATTTGTCTAAGTAGTAGGATAATGATGTGGTTTAATTTGTAATAGTGTATATTAATGGATCACTGAAACTGGTTATTATATAGGATTGCAGAGATGTGGGAAGAGTTGTAGACTACGGTGGACAAACTATTTACGTCCTGACCTGAAGCATGGTCAATTTTCTGAGGCTGAAGAACATATTATTGTCAAGTTTCACTCTGTTCTTGGTAACCGGTATGACTTCTTTATGTATATATGTACCATGATTCATTATTTTTCAATTAATTTCTTTAGTATATATAAGAGAATTATAAACAGAATTCAAACATGGCGGGTTTGATTTTTCCTTTGTTCAAAAATTCTATTTATATGATATGTCCAAAAGTTTCTTGGGTAACAAGAAACTGTATAAGATGTAAACCTTGCTTTATATACCAGAAGTTCTGGTCCAGAACTAACTATAGAGTTATAAATTTTGACAAGTTGAGTTTGAAATATTGCTGATCCATAGTCTAGGATTTATTTGAACGAGCAAGAGTTAGCAAGTTTCTGGAGAACAAGAAACTGAATAAACATCAACCTTATTTTAATTTTCTTTTGACCTATTTTGGTTCAGGTGGTCGTTGATTGCGGCACAGCTTCCTGGTCGAACAGACAACGATGTGAAAAACTATTGGAACACGAAGCTAAAGAAGAAGTTGTCGGGAATGGGAATAGATCCCGTGACCCACAAGCCTTTCTCGCATCTAATGGCAGAGATAACCACTACACTCAATCCTCCTCAGGTCTCGCACCTCGCTGAAGCTGCCCTCGGATGTTTCAAGGACGAGATGCTTCACTTGCTCACCAAGAAACGTGTTGACCTAAACCAAATCAACTTCTCAAACCCTAACCCTAACAAGTTTAACCAAATCGCTGATAACGAAGCTGGTAAGATGAAGATGGATGGTCTGGAGAATGGGAATGGGATAATGAAGCTATGGGACATGGGAAACGGATTCTCCTACGGATCTTCTTCGTCTTCGTTTGGGAATGAAGAGAAAAATGATGGATCGGCGTCTCCTGCGGTTGCGGCGTGGAGGGGTAACGGTGGAATACGTTCAGCGGTGGCTGAAACTGCGGCAGCCGAGGAGGAGGAGAGGAGGAAATTGAAGGGAGAAGCGGTGGATCAAGAGGAGATTGGATCTCAAGGAACAAGAGGAGAGAGCCAGCATGATCAACATCAACATCATGTGTTTAATGTGGACAATGTCATGTGGGATTTACAAGCTGATGATCTCATTAATCACATGGTTTGATTTTTATTTGGTTCAAAGTTTGTTTTTCATAGATTGTTTTGAGTTTTCATTTTGGATCACATTGGTAGTTAACATTTGGTTATGGTTAATTAGGTGGTATCTGTTTTTTTTAAAAGATTTAATAAGTCTTGCTTTCTAAAGCATTTTTTAATAATGAAGAATTGTAAATAGAGAATTTATTTTAAATACTTTTATCTGTTTCAGAATCTAATCTCACACAATACAAACTAATCATCGAGCAAAGACTCAACTCCAATCTCCAATGATCTATCTCAGCTTTTATAATTGAATTCAAAATCTGTATCCCGATTTGGTTACGTTTGCTTCTAGAGAAATATCCAAATGAGCTTTAGAATTTAGGCATTTCGAATGTCTGGTAATATCCTATCCGAATCGAACTCCGAGTTGGTATATAAAAAACTTAAAATTAACTAAATTTATCAATCCCTTTATATCTAAATTTTGAATTATTTGGATATTCTAAAGTAATTTTGACTAGTTGAGCTAATTGTGTATAAATTTTCTGAATACTATTACAAATTAGTTAGGATATACATTTGTATTTAAAATAATATAATTATTTATGTTAATTCGAGTATTTATATTTTTGAATACTTCGTTCAAAAAAGAAAAAAAAATTTGAATACTATACAAGTTAGTCTGGATAATTTTTCCATAGTTTTCGTATAATTTCAATTATAAATTCTTTCAGATATTTTTGGATAATATTAATGATTTGGATACTGGGTAAAATGAATCTAATATGACTCAAATCCCGGAAAAACTAATTTGACTTGTGGAAAAACATGAATATTTAAAAAATCGGCCAGAAAAGCAAAATCAAACGCTCCCCCCCAATGATTTAGGGTCAAATTAAACTAGAAAGCACATTGCAAAACATTCGGCCCACTATAAGCCCAAATATTAGTCACGAACATTGGGAAAGAAAATATAGCCGTTACAGTGAGGGAAAAAAAGTCGCGTACAGAAGTATCTGAACAGTAACCGCAAAACTTAGAGAGAAAGAAGAAAATCAGAACGTTGTACATATATAGCCGTTAAAGAAACAACAATTTAAATACCTGAGATCTTCACATAATAGCCAACCTTACCAAACCAACTCTCTCATCTTCTTCTTACTCTCTAGATTCCATTTCCGATCTCTATTTCAAATCTTCTACATAAACTCTCGTTGTTTCTATTTCTGGATCTTTGTTTCCTTATAAAGTATCAATCTTTTTCTTGCTATGGCTGGAACTAAAGATTCTCACATAGTGGAGATTCCTGTAGACGAAGAGCACAAAGAGAAGCACCAACAACAACAGTTGGTTACGGTCCCAAATCCAGGAATACTCAGGGTGATTCAGCAGCATCCCTTGTCTGAGATCTCAGAGTCTCCAGGCCACTTGTTGCTTTTAAAGCTATGGCAAAGAGAAGAAGATCTCTTCTGTCGCCGTGTCCTTCGTAAAGAATCAAGGCTCGAATCAATCAAAAGAGAGATCTTTCAACTCTGCTGTTTCTTCCTCATATTCCACGGTCTCTTCTTCACCATCGTCTACTCTTCTTCCTGCTCTGACGATGTTGATGACGTGATGAAAGGAGATGCGGTCTGCAAGAAATGGTGGATACCTTCTGCAGTGTCACTAGCCACTTCGCTGGTTCTGGTGTTCCTCGTTCAGGCTAAGCTGTTCTTGTTCTGGAAAGTTTCTAGAGGAGTTCATAGGGAGAGGAATGATAACAGAACGCTTACTCGGTGTGTGTTGGAGCTGAGGATGAAAGGGTCGAGCTTTGATCTGTCAAAGGAGCCGATGAGTGGGAAGAGGATGAAGAGCTCGAGCGTTGAGATTAAGTGGAAGCCTGTTACTTGGTTCTCTCAGTATTTGATTACCATTGTTCTTCTTGTCTTTGCAGGGTTGTTCTTTCCCATCTCTAAGTTCATCCTCTGCGGGTTTTGATCAGACAAACAAACTTTTCTGTTCATTTTTCTTTTCGGTAAGCAAATCTTCTGCTTTTGTACTTCAATAAAAAAGACTGGACTATCAGTAATAAATGTGTTATATTTTCTCAGGATTCTATATTCTTTCTTCAACCTCCACTGTGGGGATGAAGCCTTTTGGTCCGATCTTAGCTTTGGGAGAGTTGCTGTCAAATCAATGGGGTGCAAGAACAACCTGTAACTTTTAGCAGCAATATAAAGTCGAGATCATCTGTCTGACGCTAGATAGTTATGTAACTTGGAATCAGAATTTATAAAGTTTCATTCTTTTATTTTTTTTCTATAATAAAGCACAGATTGTGTAGTAGTACTATCCCATTTTTTCGCAGCAAATAAAATGACAAAATTCATATAAAATCACAACTGCAAACATTCATTCCATGTGAAAATATTGATACTACAAGATTTCCTCCTTGATACTGTTAACACATATTTAGTGTACACAATCTTTTTCCAATTCACCAAGTGCCCGAGCAGAATTGCTCTTAACGGTGTTTCTACGAGCTATCAAAACCAAATATTCGGAAAACACCTGTAAAAAGATACAAATAGTTTCTTGTCAGTTCATTTTCTGCGGCCAATTCAAAAGAGTTTTGTGTTGCTGCTAACAAAGAAGCTGGAATACCTTCATCACCATAATACTTGGCACTCTTGTCATCACCTGCATATGCAAGTAAGTTGTATTTGGGATTCCACTCCACGCTATTCATTGCAGCTCGACATGGAATTTGATGCACCGTCCGCCCGGTTTGGACGTTTGCCTGTTTTTTAATGGTCAGATATGAGGCAACTAATCTCACATTGAAGAAACTATATAGTAACTAGCAGTGTCTGAGTCTGAATAGTGACTTACAATATCTATAAACAAATCCTCACTGGCTGAAGCAATGTATTCTCCTGAATGGTTAAAGCTTATTGTCCTGACTGGCGAGCTGCGAGAAAGAGTAATAATTTACGAACATGAAACGGAAATCAAACTTTTAATCTTCAATAACAAAGGATCCACATTCCCAAAGGCTGAGAGAGACTCACTCAAGTTTTGTAAATGTTCTCAAACAAAGCATGTCCGACATATCCCAAAGGCTGACTAAAGAATCCGCACTCCCAACAGCAAAGTATCTGTTACGGTATAGAGGAGAGGAATTGGATTCAAACAAATCATATAATCATTTGTGGCTCAGAGGGTAAAAAGAAAAATGAAGGCAAACATATATTACCTTCCTTTAGGATCAATTGCAATGCAATAGCACCCGGCTGTGTGGGCAGTAAGAGTGTCAACTGGTTTAAGATCATTTTGCATTTTCTCAAGTGGATATGAGAGAACTTCAACAGTGCCTGAACAGTAGAACATATGAAAGTAATAAGATCATTTTCTCAAGTTCAACGAATATATAAAAATTAAAAACTAAGCTGGGGAATCCTGTGCAGGAATGAATAGAGTTTAAATCCTCACCAAGTCCAGTAGTCAAGAAGAAAAGATCTCCTGACATATTCCAAGCAATCTCATTGACCTGTTACAATAAGACGAAAGCTAAGGAAACATTCCATACAGCACCATATATGTAATACATCTTCTAAAGCATGTATTAACTTTTACAACCAGATGCTTGTGACATGGAAAAGAAAGTTAGGGTGGAATTCAACCGAATGATTTAGAAACAGAGGAGACTAAAATAAAAGACTCTGAGATTTCGCTACCTCATATGAGAATTTGCGCTTGTATAGGGATTTATTAAACTTACGGACATCCAGAATGGTAAGCTCATCATCCTACATTAGCCAAGAAGAGAAACAACAACCACATATAAAAGGGACCCATCAAGCAATGCATAAAACAATCTAGCAAGGAACAATGCAAGTGTAAAAGACATGAGGCTCTCGAGACAATACCCTATTACCAACAGCTATATGTGTCCCGTCAGGTCTGTAAGTGATGTTTATATTCTCCCCACTAAGTTCTGCCTGTTGCGTGCATTTTCCACCTATACAACTCGAAGAAGATATATCTCATGAACACACACAATAGTAGCTACGTATCAAAACCTCTACTACAGAATTTAGCTAAATATATATAGTACATAATCGTTAGGAACTTAATATCTAATTATCAACCAATAGTTTCCGCAGCATAACTCAAGGGCACAAGCCAAGATAACATTTTGTGAATGTCACAAAGCTCATCTATTAGAAACTACAAGAAATCTCTAAACCAAGCTCTAGCCTGTAAGATTAAGGAAGTAAAATAACTTACTGCGAGCATCCCAGAGACGAACGCTCTTATCACCAGAGGCAGTAGCAACAAGATCTGAATGTTTAGGGTCCCAACAAAGCTGATCCACACTATCAGTATGTCCCTTTAGCTCAAGGTCCTTAACCTTACTCTGTTTCCACCACAACACACCCATTAATAAAAATCATTACTTTTTCCATATCTATAAACATAAAGACACAAACTTTTGCAGCTTAAATGGACAAAGAAATTACATGACCGTGAGGTTCGATGGTCCAAACACGAGCGGTTTGGTCGACAGAACCAGAAGCAAGCTTTGTCCCATTAGAGTTCCAAGCTACCGAATGTACCTTTCAATAAAAAAAAAAGCTAGGGTTCGTAAGATTAGTTTAATACAAAAGATAACTAGATAAAGAATTAAAAAAAAAAAATTGAAGAAGACCTTCTTCTTGTGACCTTGATACTCTCTGCTATGAAGATTCTTGAAAGGAATCGTCTCCTCCATCTTTGTTTCAAGCTCTTCTTCCACTCAACCTTCCTTCGCGACTCACTCAATGTATCCCTCTGGCCTCTGAGTAGAGAGCTTCCCTTTCCAAAAACGCAGCGTTTAGTAACGTACCGGATTTAATAAACTGTACCGGAATTTTAACTTTATTTTTTTGCGAATTAAACCGCGAATTAAAAATTCCACTGATCAACCCTCTAAGTGTCTGTTAAACCACAATATAACCCTTGGTTGTGTATATGTATATTTGACTGTATAATTTTAACACTAATCAATACTATGTCGTTTTGGTTATAATTTTTAATGAAAAAAATTTACGCATATCTGGGTTCGAACCTTGAACCTTATACACAACGCAACTATATATACTAGTTGCATACTCCCCACGCAAGCGCGGAGCCGGGATCATTATGTTTGCGTGTACTTTTTTCGATTGTTGGTTTAGTGGATTTTTCTAATGACACCAAATAATAATGAAATAGAAAGAATGTAAAGTGAAAATATTGTATATCTAATGTGTTAAATGTTATTTATATGCGAAATAAAGTTTATAGGAATAGTTAGGCTATAATATAGTTTTTACTGTGTAAAGTAGGTGTCTATTTTTTTTTTTTTTGCTGTAAATAGTTTTTATATCGTTTGTTAAAACTTGATATAATTATATATTTTTAGTATTTATATTTGTATTAAACCATTTATCAATTTGAAAACAACCTTAACTAAGTTAATATTCGTTGTTTAAATTTCATTAGATATGTTTTAATATATGTTTTTTTGTAAGTTTGGATTTTTTTTCATAAATGATGTGACATTTTTATCTACGGTGTCATCGACTGTAGGAATCCATTCGCAGAAGTCTGGAGTTGGTGGTGAGGAATGATTTCAATGAAATTATAGTAGTTATTAAAATGTAAGAGAAATTACATATTCATTTAATAAATAACAAAAAATACTTAAATTTTGTTGTTTATTTTATTTTATTTCACATACAAATTTTTTGAAAATATAGTAGGAATGTGTTAAATATTATTTATATGCGAAGTAAGCTTTATAGGAATAGTTAGGCTATATTATAGTTTTTAGTGTGTAAAAGTAGGTGTTTTTTTGCTGTAAATAGTTTTTATATCGTAGGTCAAAACTTGATATAATTCTATATTTATAGTATTTATATTTGTATTAAACAATTTATCAATTTGAAAATAACCTTAATTCACTTAATATTCGTTGTTTAAGTTTCATTAGATAGGTTTTTTTTATATGGTTTTTTGTAAGTTTGAGTTTTGTTCATAAATGATGTGGCATTTTTATCTACGGCGTCATCGACTGTGGGAATCCATTCGTCGGAGTCTGGAATCGGTGGTGAAGAATGTTTTCAATGAAATTATAGTACTTATTAGAGTGTAAGAGAAATTACATATTCATTTCATAAATAACGAAAATAATTAATTTTTGTTGTTTTTTTCATTTTATCTCACATACAAATTTTTTGAAAATATATATTAGGAAATATGTGCACTGATTAAAATTTTTGAACTCGTAATCTGTATTATTCAAGTCTCATTAAGCCATCCACATAGGCAGCCGCGTGGGATTCACTTTTTGTTTTTGTTTTTGTTTTTTGGTCTGTTCGTTTTTGGATTCATTTTTTATTATTTTTGGGTTGAGCTGTACTATAATAGAATATTTTAAGGCTCTTTAAGCCATCCGTGTAGGCAACCGCGTGAGATTTGTTTTTTTTTTTTTTTATTGTTCGTTTTTGGATCCATTTTTAACTATTTTTGGGTTTGAACTTGTTAACCTTTAGGGTTTATCCAACTATATTGGTTTCATAAATAACGAAAATAATTAATTTTTGTTGTTTTTTTTATTTTATCTCACATACAAATTTTTTGAAAATATATATTAAGAAATATGTGCAATGATTTAACTTTTTGAGCTCGTAATCTATATTATTCAAGTCTCATTAAGCCATTCACATAGGCAGCCGCGTGAGATTCACTTTTTGTTTTTGTTTTTTGGTATGTTCGTTTTAGGATTCATTTTTTATTATTTTTGGGTTGAGCTGTATTATAATAGGATATTTTAAGGCTCTTTAAGCCATCCGTGTAGGCAACCGCATGAGATTTGCTTTTGTTTTTTGTTTTTTTTTTTTTTTTTTCATTTTTGGATCCATTTTTAACTATTTTTGGGTTTGAACTTGTTAACCTTTAGGGTTTATCCAACTATTTTGATCTTTAAAACAATAAGCCCGAAAAAGAAACATAAAAACCTTATAAACAAAAAGTCCATATGATAATAAGCCAAATAAAAAAATCAAAAATACATGATAGTTACGTTGTTTGAATCCACAATCTTGCATACTTAATTAGACACCTTATACCACTTGGTTAAAGTGTATTTCATTGTTCTAAATCATCTTACCAAGACTATGGGTTTTTAAAAAATACCTACGGGACCCACAAAACTGTTGACGTGGCGCGTTGTGGAGTCTAGATAAACAATAAGCCCAAAAAAGAAACATAAAAACCTTATAAACAAAAAGTCCATATGATAATAAGCCAGATAAAAAATTCAAAAATACATGATAGTTGCGTGGTTTGAACCCACGATCTTGCATACTTAATTAGACACCATATACCACTTGGCTAAAGTGTATTTCATTGTTCTAAATCATCTAACCAAGACTATGGGTTTTTAAAAAAATACCTATGGGACCCACAAAACTGCTGACGTGGCGCGTTGTGGAGCCTAGAAAGTCTACTATTATAATATAGATTTCTAAATTCATTCCGACTTTGTTTCTTATTTTTTCCAGGGACATGGGAGCTTGTGTAATAAATATGGGGGTCGTCCTTGGATTGTTACTCAAACATTTACTTTTTCGATTTTCTTTACTTATACAGTAAAACTTCTATAAATTAATAATGTTGGAAATTTAAAAATTTATTAATTTACAAAAATTCTATATTTAAATTTTTTATTTAAAAGATATTTATTCTAAGCTAAAAAAAATATTTTATTTTAATGTATAGATATTAATTATTATTTTAAAAAAATTTACATTTATATTAATTTTATTATATTATTTGATTTTTATAATATATATTCTATAGAATTTAAATGTGGTTTAGATATAATGTTACTAAAATCTCATCAAAAATATATTAAGTGTTAAGAAAATATAAAGATAATTTCATTGTGAATATACAATCTATACTATTATTTGAGAAGTAAATTTGCTTAGTTGTCAACTTCTCCATGATTATAGGTAATTTTGTTTTATGTTTCAATAATTTAATATATAATTTATTACATAAATAAAAATGTATTTATATTAATAATATTATATATTTTAAAAATAAGATAAACTTATGTATTATATTTTATCTTGAAAATATATTTTTCTATTAAAGAAATTAAAAATTAAGATATAAAAATATAATTAAATATAAATCAAGCAATGTTGAATGTCAACTTCTCCATGATTTTAATTAATTTTGCTTATTTGTAATGTTTTAATAATTTTGATATAGTTTTTATTTATACTATTATTTGTGAAGTGATTTTTCGTACCGAACATTCACGTTAAAAATCAGAGTGGTTAATATTTATATTACCCTTAATGAATAGTTATATATAATTCAAATATAATTTATATGGAAATTCATATTAACAACAAAGTATATAATATGTCAACTAACACGTTCAATAAATTTTAAACACACTTGTCTAGAATGTTTCTAGGTTATAATTTATAGTTAACCAATTTCTCTTATCTTTTTACTCACACCAGTTCGAATCTTCTCCATCGTCTAAATCTTTTTTTTTCTTTAGGTTATCTGAAAGGCTAAGGTTCATATTATCATAAACCTATTCATCTCTCATATGTTTAGGTTTTAGTTTAGTTTATATCATATTGGTTGACTTCACATTGTTTCTAATATCTTTATGTGTATTTTTCATTATGTGATTCTTTCTGGAATTGTTCATATTGAACTTTATATCATGTTTTTTTTCAGTGGCTATGGATAGAAAAGAGGGATTCTATTGTCTAGATAGATATAATTGTTTGCTCTTATGTTTTTTGTCTGAATTTCCTTAAGTTTGTAGCATCACTATTTTGTTATATGAACTTTGGACGTATGTCTTCGTTTTGTTCAGGAACAAAAAAAAAGAAGAAGATCCCAAATCAAGGACCGTAAAAGACGTAGAAGATGTCATCCAATCTACTCAAGCAAACTTGCTCCAACCACGAGAAGGTTGAGTGATAGAAGTGATGTAATATTCCATTCACTTTAGTCAGGTTTTGTGGTGGTATGTGCACTTTTTCGTTAGGTTGTCATTCGTAAAATTTAGAATGTATTCGTTCGGATGTCACTACTTTGATTTATGTATGTTCATAATACACTACTTTGATTTATGGTGTGTTGTGGATTCTTTTGTTGTGTTTTTTTCATACATGAGGTTTTGTAAGCTCTATTTCTTCTATCATAGAAGTTATATTAATACGTATGTTTGTTATTTTCAATTTGATTTTTCTTACTTGTTTAATATTTTGTTCAGTGTCAAAGGTAAACTTTGCCGATGCTGGCCACTCTAATTTCTCCATCTCAATAGCTAAAAAGAAAAAACCTATAGCGTACATGTAAATTCTTGGTCTTTTGGACGTTATTTGTGTGAATCCAAGTAAATGAAAAGTTTTTGAGCACAAAATAAAACATGGCATGACCTTGTTTACCAACTTACTCAATTGGTTGGTTCCGGTCATGATACCGTTCACAAATTGTATTTAGTTAACTGATTAAACAAATATACTCTAATATAAAACTTTGATATTATTAGCCGTAAAATGAAATTTTTGTTCTGAACTATAACATTAAATGTAGTTAGTTAAGATTCATCTTACATTATTAAAAGGAGAATAAGCTGAATGGAGAGAGGTGCCTCGTCTATTTAAATAATTGGCCAATCAGAGATAGATTTTTAGCCACGTGTGTGCA